TTTTTTTTTTTTCCAGAGTACCCTTTGAATCCTAAATCTAGATCTCCAAGAATGCTGGTCATTAAAAAGGGCAATACAAAAGAACTGCAGATATCTGGATTTCCAGTAGTAGGAAGTCTTCATTCACAGCCAGTAAGGAATGGAACTGGCACTAGTGTTTATAAAGGATTAGTTCCTAAACCTGTCACTGCACCCACAAAGGTGAGTGTTGGATATCGGTGGCATGAATAAACATGCTGGAAAAAGTCATGCTGTAATTCTGAATGTGCTTACTCACCCTTGAGAATATTGTTCCTAGATTATTATGCTTTCAACTGTTGCTAACTGCAGCATACTCCAAAAGTGAATGGAAACAACTTTTTCCTCATTTTTCTTTTTAAACTATACTGTAATTTGATCTCGCTTTGTTTCTCATTTACCTTTTTTGAGAAGTGCAAGAACTGTCCAAGTGAGAATGGAAAGGATCTTTTTAACTTGTGCAATAGCAATGCCTTCTGTATGTATGATTTTAACAGAAAAATAGATATCTAGTGGAGAGATATAGCTGACATAAAAATATCTTCAGAATTGATCCCAATTATTGATAGAGATGATGTTGCAACCTATTAGTGTCATTCTGATCCCTTTCCAAATGCAAGTTTCCATGTCCATCTCTCGATTTTTGTTTCAGGAATTTTTCTGTGCTCCTGAGAGCATATGGTGGAGTAGTTCTGAACTCTAACATTCTATGTTAAAAACAGTACTTTCAGCTGTTGAGAGCTCATATTTTGATTGTTAATATCTCAAATAGAAGGGTCTTAATTGTTTTGAAATCTTAGTGTTTATATAAAAAATGTAAACAGTTGAATAAAACAGTCTCTTTTCCACAAGAAAGCAGGTGTTTGCACTGAATTATGGTTGTAATTTTGGTTTGCTTTTGCTTAATCATTTTTCTGAAGATTACTGAAAATAATCCTGTTGTAGTTATTGACACTTCAAATTTCTGTTTAAATTTTTGTTTAGCCTACACAGTGGAAAAGCCAAGCAAAAGAAAACAAACTTGGGAATCCATTTACTCATGAATCTGCATATGGTGTTGGCAATTTCAGTCCTTTCAAATCAACTGCCAAGGCATTTACTATATCACAAAATTCAGTGAAAGAGGTAAAGCAATGTCTGTAGTCTTTATCAAATCTATAAAACGTTTAGTTTGGTTAGATAAGATCAGTAAGTTTTGTACAGAATTGTATTAAATAAGTTTTTTTGGAAGTTAACGTGTGAGAAATACGGAAGGCACATCACTTGGCCCTTTAAGTACTGCATAATTTGCTTTGTAGATTTGACTTGGAGTAAAAATGATGCATTAGGAAGTATAACCTGATAGGTTTAAACTTCAAAACTGCTAATGGTATGATACACTTCAGAAGGTCCACTGTTCATTATCAGTGCTCCATAAACCTCCCTCTCTGAGTTTACATGTAAGAACTGTACTGAAGTACAATTCTCTTCCCTCTGCTTTTGACTCTGGGCATATGTGAAACCTGAAACTACAGGTGCCAGGGAGTCATCTTGTCCTTCATTCCAAGTTTTCTAATTAATAAACTTCTATTTTTTTTTTTCTTTTCCTGACTTCCCACATTAGTGTAATCGGTCAAATTCTTCATCCCCTGTTGACAAAATTGGTCAGCCTCGTTTAACAAAATTGACAAGAATGCGGACTGATAAGAAGAGTGAATTTTTGAAAGCACTGAAACGAGATAGAGTGGAAGAGGAACATGAAGATGAGAATCATGCTGGGCAAGAGAAGGTAGTTTTGTTCATGCTTATTGTAGGTCCAGCAGTAGCATTTTTCAGATGAACCATAAACAACTACTTATTTTGCTGTAAACAGCTGTTAAGTCATGGGTTGGATCTCTAAATGAAGGAAAAAATTACATTTTGATGAATTAAAAAAAAATTGTTCCAATTACTACTACTAGTAGTTCCAGTTACTACTCCAGTGCTTTTTAAGAGTTTCTTTTTCTTCAGTATCTTTTCATAAATGTTAATAACTTGGGCACATCTGTGTCTTCAGCAACAATAAAAATAATAAATTAAGCTTACATTAAATATTTTATTAATAATGAAGCTTAACTTTAACCTAATCATAGAATCTTTTAGGTTGAAAAAGAGCTTTAAGATCTTTGAGTCCAACTGAAAGCCTAACACTACCCAGTCCACCACTAAACCATGTCCACATCTACACATCTTTTACATACCCCCAGGGAAGGTGACTCCAGTGCTTCCCTGAGCAGCCTGTTCCAATGCTTGAC